GGTCTCCAGGTCATTGTCTTGGAAAAAGGTGGTAAAGGTTGGGTATTGCCATGGCAACAGTAAACCAAAATGGCACACTGGTGGGCATGTCCTATGGAAAGCTGCTTCCACCCATCTCTGTTTTAGCTAGTCCTCAAGTTGGTTCAGTGTCCAAGCCCCACCTCCAGAGTCAAGTTCCACCTCCTACTTCAGTGCCACCCTAAAACATGCCTTTTTAGCATATGGGTTATTTTGAGCAAAAGGCCATCATGAACCAGCAGAGGCAGTAAAAGCTTTAAAAACACGGCACAAGATTTTTCTTTTGTAAAGAAAATTTACAATTTCTGAAGAAAATATCCATTTGTAAAAGGTATCTCCCTCTCCTGTATCCAGAAGAGGAGGACTCTTAACAACTCTTATCAATGGAGAAGGCATTGGCTTCAATCTGCCAACAAACCTTACTAAATAACTCATTGTTTACCACACTTTTCCTGGTTATTCAATAACCTGCCTCTCCCACCTAGAAGCCCCAAATCCCTTTTTGTTTGTTTAGCCTAAGATACTCTACAAGTCCAAGTTCTAACATCCCTTTGGGTTACTCACCACTGGGTGCTCCCATGTTTATGAGGGATACACATCTTAATCAACTTCAATGTTTCCCTTGTTAACCTGCCTTTTCCCAGTCTAGTTTACAGGGTTCCAGCCAGAGAATCTAAGATGAGCAGAGGAAAAAGATTACTTTTCTCCTCTCCTACAACTGGGATCTGTTTTTGTCATATTCCACAGCTTGTCTATGTCATGATTTACTTAACCAATTTCCTTCTCTTAGACATTTAAATTGTTTCCAATTTTGGCTTTAAAATACTGCAGTGTATAAATTTATAGCCAAGTCTAGTACATAGCCTTCATTATTTCCTTATGATAAAATCATCCTTGTGGACTTGTTAGAAATCCACATATTTTTGATACTTCTAATTCACACTGACAAATTGCCCACCAGAAACTATACCTATTTGCAATTCTCCTATATACGAGAACGCTATATACAAGAACGCCCACTTTCACCATCATCAACACTATGTTTTCATTTTTCAAATGAAGATGAAAAATGCATCCATGTTAAAACTGACATTCCTTTATTCATAAATAGAAACAAAATTCTTCTTTTGTGGATTGCTCCTTTTATGACTTTGACCTATTTTAATATTAAGGTGTCTATCTTTTCTATGTTTACAAGAAAAACTTAATATTAAAAATTTAATGTTTACCAGGCACGGTGGCCCACACCTGTCATCCCAACACTTTGGGAGGCCAAGGTGGGAGGATCACTTGAGCCCAGGAGTTCAAGATCAGCCTGGGCAACATAGTGAGACCCCAGTCTCTACAAAAAATAAAAAAAAAATAGCCAGGCATGGTGCCACATGTCTGTATTCCCAGCTACTCAGGAGGCTGAGGCAGGAAGATCACTTGAGCTCAGGAGGTCAAGGCTGCAGTATATTGTGATCATGCCACTGCACTCCTTCCTGAAACAGAGCAAAACCCTGTCTCTAAAGTTAATTAAAAAAAATTGTTATGCCTTTGTCATGTATCTTGCAAGTAATTTGCTCCTTTTAGTGCATTCTTTTAATTTTTTTATGGAAAAATACAAAGTTTTCACATTTTACAGAGTCAGATCTACCAATCTCTTTCTTTTTCATGGTTTCTGCCCTTGAAGCCATGCTCATCACTCAGAGTAGAATTAGTTTTAGAGGAGCAAAATCAATGTTTCAAATAGAAGAGCAGAAAGCTGCTCTTCACATGCTCCATGAGGAAAGTGAGAGGAAGAGAGGGCAAGCGCACTCAAAAGCTGAGACGGGGGAGAGGATGGCCAGCGCCACCTTCTCTCCACCAGGCCTTGACAGACTGGAGTTGGACAGCGGCTGGTGGGTCAGCCACTCACAAGCAGGGAAGCTCTGTGCTGCTCCTCTGGGTTGGCAGATACTTTTGAAAAAATATGTGTGCCCTAAGCATCCTTTCTTAAAAAGACATTTTTTATTACAAAAAAAGTGTTTACTTCCAAAATTTTAAACTTCACAGAAATTAATAAAATGTGAAAGAAAAATAAAATGCCAGGACCCCAATTCATTATGCCAAAAGGAAAAAATAAACTGAAAGTTGAGTCACGCAAGAAACTGCCTTCCCTTGAGTTCCTAAGCAGACAACTACAGACAAAAAGCTGCTGTCTCCAGGGGTAGCTACTCTATGTTCACCTTATCTTATGAAAGTGCCAATTTACTGAGCATGAGAAGAATACACAATTGACCATTCCCCTACCTGCTTCTTTTCTCTTGCAACATATGGATTCAGTAATGTGACCGTGTCCTTCCTCCTTCCCCTCTGACCGGCTTTTCCCCTTTAAATACTGAAGCCTTCAAAACCATGTTGAGAAAAAGGCACAAACCACAGATTGTTCCTGTGGTTCTGTGTTCCTTTTTGTCCTTAATGTTGATGAAATAAACTTCTAAATTGATTGAGACCTGTCTCAAGTATTTTTTGGTTTACAAAGGTAAGAAGTGAAGATTTCATTTCGGTTCTCTCGCAGTCTAATACCTGAAAGACAAGCACTGTAAAAAAATTCACCATCAGCCCTTTCAGGCTTTTTTCTCACACATACCTTAAGAACAACAGAGTATGATACAGTATACTGGTATACCCGTAGCATAGTATAAACACAGTATCATATATAAAAAGGACTAATCCTATAGATATTGTTTTGCAATTTACTCTTTTCATGTGATTTTCCAAAAGCATCTTTCCATGTCTTACTTTTAGGCCTATGTTATACTATTTTGATGCTTATGCAATATTTCATAATATGAATATACTATAATTTTACTGGTTTGCAATTTTTTATTACAAAAATGATACAACAAACGTCCTTGAACAGCATTTTAAAACATCCGTGCTTTCATATGTGTGGGATAGATGTCTGAAGTTAAAATCACTCGGTGAAAAAAAGACAAATTTTAAAGTTTGGTGGAAATGATAAATTCCTTTCCCCAGAAGGTGTTGATTTATATTCCCTCTGATGTTGTATGAAGGTTCATTTCTCCACACATTCATGTTAATAATGTAAATTATCATTTTTCCTAATTTTGCCAATCTGATGGTGAAAAATGGTATTTTATAGCTAAGATATATGCATATAATTTTGGTGACATTGGACTCCTCTTGCAGGTTTGATATTTCTTCTGTGAACTACTTCTTCTGTAAGCTGATCATTTATATCCTTTGCCCATTTTAAAAACTATTTTGTATTGATTGATAAGAATTATTTCTATGTTTTGAATATTAATAATTTTATACATATCGCAAGTATTTTGTCATGCCTTTTCATTTTGTTCCTTATTTCTTCATCTGCACATAAATCTTACTTCTTTACATCATCAATTGTGTTCATCCTTTCCTTCTTACTTTGGATTATGTGTTATATGTAGATAGGCCTTCCATACTCAAGCTATAAGAATATCTTTCTGTATTGTCCTTTTAGCATTTTAATTAATTAATTATTTTATTTTATTTTATTTTTTTTGAGACAGAGTCTCACTCTGCCGCCCAGGCTGGAGTGCAGTGACACCATCCTGGCTCATTGCAACCTCTGCTTCCCAGGTTCAAGCACTTCGCCTGCCTCAGCCTCCTGAGTAGCTGGAATTACAGGCACACGTCACCATGCCTGGCTAATTTTTGTAGTTTTAGTAGAGATGGGGTTTCACCACGTTGGCCAGGTTGGTCTTGAACTCCTGACCTAAGGTGAGGAGGTCCGCCTCGGCCTCCCAGAGTGCTGGGATTATAGCTGTGAGCCGCCACGCCCGGCCTCCTTTTAGCATTATTGTAGTATTTTTGCATTTAAAATTTTAATTCAACTGTTGTGCATTATTGTGGAAGATGCTCATACAACCATGAGGTAAATATTTGGGCTTCCTTTTACCCAGTAATAGCAAACAACTGCTTTGACTTAATTTCATTTCCTTGGCAACTTTCTGACAGATAATATCCATATTTGTACTTAGAGTTGAAAAAGAAAACAAGCACCTCTTTTACAGTTTTTACTCACTGTGACCTAAAGAATTGTAACGCTGAAAATGTGCTTTGGAAGTCTGTCATGGTTATTCCTCTTTTTAGGCATCTTTTCAGGGCACATGCATCTCTGCATCATTGTCTCTTTCCTTGTGTCACAAATTTCTGTTCTCTTTTTCTCTCCCTCATTTCTTTTTTCTCCTAATCTCTCCTTTTTCTTAACCACCTATAATGTTAATCACTTTAAATGCTTTTGACTCCTTTGTTTTGGTGGTTTAATTGTATTTCATAGTCTCCATGCTTCTTTGTTTTGGAACAAGTTTCTATTTACCTAACTGTAAATTTCACTAGAGTTGTAAAATGTACCCCGAACATAGGATTTGGGGATTGCAAGCATTTACAGCTGATACTTAATTTCTTTCTTTTCATCACAAAAACGATTTTAGAACATGAAAAATATCTTTGGAGAAACAAAAAAATCAATTTCCTAATCATTTTATGGGCATACTTTTCAATATTTATAATCATATAGGATAAATATTTGCATTCTGCTATTGGCTTGTGAACATTTACCTATATTTCTCTGTGGTCTTGTTAGGGACAGTATACCTAAGTGGATAAAAGGCTGGGAGGTTGAATTTGGCTTCTTGTTTACAAAAGACTGATCCTTAGTCATCTACTTAGCCTCTATGTTCCTTTTCTCTTTCACTGAGATGAGAAAATCCATCCATCCCAATTTTTTGTGAGGATTAAAATGCGGTAAGAAAACACACACTCATAAACACATCTGCTTTGGTAAAGGAGCACATCAGAAGGGCTGGCTTGTGCGCGCTCTCGCTCTCTGTGTATGTGTGCTGTGTTTTATGTTACTGTAAAAGATGTAAAGAGAGGCACGTGGTTAAGTTCTCGGGGTGTGGACTCCACCAGTCTCACTTCAGTTCCTTTTGCATGAAGAGCTCAGAATCAAAAGAGGAAACTAACTCCTAAGATGAGCCTTCCATGTAAAATTGTAACCAGCTTCCTTCTAATTTTCAACGTTTCTTCCAAAGGTAAGTTGGTGGATGGGTCTCCACTGTCACGGTTAGAAGCTTCTTCTTCGGAGACCCTGAAGTAAGCATAAGAGCCAAAGAAGTCCCAACCCAACTTTCCCTGGAGGTGACTCTCAGTAACTCTTTTGCTTTTTCTAGGTGCAGTCTCCAAAGAGATTAGGAATGCTTTGGAAACCTGGGGAGCGCTGGGTCAGGACATCGACTTGGACATTCCTAGTTTTCAAATGAGTGATGATATTGATGATATAAGATGGGAAAAAACTTCAGACAAGAAAAAGATTGCACAATTCAGAAAAGAGAAGGAGACTTTCGAGGAAAAAGATGCATATAAGCTATTTAAAAACGGAACTCTGAAAATTAAGCATCTGAAGATCCATGATCAGGATAGCTACAAGGTATCAATATACGATACAAAAGGAAAAAATGTGTTGGAAAAAACATTTGATTTGAAGATTCAAGGTAAGTGTTCATTCCCTTAATTGCTTTATTTCAGTGTGGGTGCTATTTGGCAAGTTGGAAAATAGCATTTATAATATTCCCCAACGCTGACCTCTGCCTCCAGGGGGGCTGTACAGGAAATCAGATGCATTTCTCCTGCGCCAGTGGAGACTGTGGTCCAATGATGGAATGGGATCCACACATTTGATAGACACATCTGAAGTCTACCTGCCTACAACTCTCTCTTCAGGTGGTTACAGGAATGTGAGGCTGGGTGAAGAACCTGGATTAAGGTGGCATTAATCAGGAGAGGGACACAGGTGGGCAGAGAGAAAAGGCAACTGTTCCAGGTTGCTGATGAATGGGCAAGTTAAGAGTGGGGCGGGAAAAGGCTGACTGGAGAGCAGCGGGCCTTTCATCGACAGAGCCCATTTCAAGCCAGGCTGCCCTGAAGGAGGAGTTATATGGCAGAAAAGGCCTGGAAACAACATATTTAAAGATGAACAGCCCTCGTTTTGGATCTGCTTGTCAGAGCGATTCAAGGTGATAGGTGATTTTTGCTAATATGTGTAGAAGATGCACAAGGTGTGGCTTTATTTATCTCTACCTGTACTGGGAGGGCAGGAGTGGATATTGAGGATGGGTTTAGGGAGACTAGTCAGAAAGCTGCTGCTGTGATCCAAGGGAAGTGAGGACCAATTAAATCAGATGTTTTTGCAAGCAGCCTGGGTATCATTAGGTTATAAAGCTCCCTGGGGGATTATAATGAGCAGCCAAAGTCAGTCACCACTGGCCGAGACCAAAGGGTGCCTGTAAAATGGGAAGAATGAGGATAATAAAGGTCAGGCATAGAGAAAGGTGGCTTGGGCAAGGGAGAGAAGGAAGAGAAAGTGTAATCGAAATGCCATTGAAGTTGAAAGCCCAGGGGATGCTGGGCAGGGAGTGATAAGAAGGGAAAAGAGGAAGCTGCACTTGGCTTGGGGAGGCAGACAGGAACCCCAGCATGAGCACAGGCCAGCCATTCAGTGAGCAAATAAGCATTTCTGTGCTTCACACAGAAAATGTCGCCAGAAGCAGGGTCCCCTCCTTCTTCCTCTCTGTCTCCAGCCCCGTCTTCAGCACCTGGGCCTACCAGCAATCCCAGACAGTGTCAGATTGCCCAGTCCAGCAATCCCAGACACTGTCAGCTCCCCTGCAGTGACAACTTTCCACACCCTAGTCCTGCAACCCTGAGTGGGAGCACCTTGTAGAAATGTAGTGGGGTTGAGCATGGCGCTCAAAAGGGCCCCTGATTGTAGGCTCTGGAAACCACAGATCTCAGGACTCCAAACAGCACAAAATTTGAGTGTCCTGTTTTGAGTGTGAGCCCTACGCGGGAGACCATGCTGGTGTTTTCACATTTGGGTCGCATTTAGCATTGTGGTGGAAATAGTGGCTACCAGCTAGGAGTCAGGGGCTTGCTTACATGATCTTACTTAAAGCTCCCAACAATACTGAGACATGGCTGTTATTATCTCCTTGTTATATACAAGAAAACAGAGACCTAGTCAGAAGCAGCTTGTCCAAGGTCTCATTGCTTGACAGGAGCAAAGTCAGGATTCAAACTCAGAGGTCTTTTTGGCAAGGATGATGGCCTTTTCTCTTTTTTTCCAAGCAGCTTCATTGAGATAATTCACCTAGCATTCAATTTGTCCATATACTAAAATGGCCTTTAGTATATTCAGAGTTTTGTAACCATCACCACAATCAACATTTTCATTGCCCCCAAAAGAAACCCTTCACCCTTTAGCCTAAAGACAGCGACTTGCTTTGTGTGTGTGCACGCCAATGTCATACAACATCTTGATTCAACTTGTAGTTGGGCACTATTACCAGACTTGAGGTCACCACGGCCTTGGGCAAATTCCCTATCTGCTCTGAGTCTGATTTTTGAATGACAACTTCAAGGGATATTCAATGAGACAATGTGTGTACAAGTGCCCTGCAGTGCCTAGGGCACAATACCTGTTTGCTCAGTGCTAATGCCCTCCCACATCTCTTTGTTTCTCCAAGCTTCTCTTTGTTGTTTTTTGTGTGTGTGTGTAAGATGGAGTCTTGCTCTGTTGCCCAGGCTGGAGTGCACCAGCATGATCTCTGCTCACTGCAGCCTCTGCCTCCCAGGTTCAAGTGATTCTCCTGCCTCATCCTCCCAAGTCGCTGGGATTATAGGCGTGTACTACCACGTCCAGCTAATTTTTGTATTTTTTTTTTGCGGGGGGTGGGGACGGAGTCTGGCTCAGTCGCCCAGGCTGGAGTGCAGTGGCGCGATCTTGGCTCACTGCAAGCTCCGCCTCCCGGGTTCACACCATTCTCCTGCCTCAGCCTCCCAAGTAGCTGGGACTACAGGTGCCACCACCACGCCCGGCTAGTTTTTTGCATTTTTAGTAGAGATGGGGTTTCACTGTGTTAGAGATGCCATGTTGGTCAGGCTGGTCTCAAACTCCTGACCTCAGAGGATCTGCTTGCATCAGCCTCCCAAAGTGCTGGCATTACAGGTGTGAACCACGGCACCCAGCCTCCAAACTTCTCAAACTCCAGTAGTTGTGCCTGCATTTCCTTCATGAGGGAGTTGCTGCTGCAGGCTGAAGAGGCAGTGGAGGGCTCCTTAGAAGCATATGCTGGTAGGGAAGGGGTTAATCCCAGCAACTCAGAACTAAGGAGTTCTCAACCATGGAAGGCCTTAGGTTGGATCGGTTCTAAGATGCTATCTTAGTGAATGTATACGGAGGTACCACTCCACAACTCCCGTCACTGCGTTGTTCATGTTAGCGAAATGCTAGAACAGTCAGCAGTCAGAAATTTATTAATCAATTAAATTAAGAATGCATCCTTTAAAAAGATGGAGATATGCATTTATTGATGTTCATTTAAAAAAGAATGTCATAATATAATTTCACAATAAAGGGAAAAAGGCAGACAATAAGATCACATAAACTAGTTTTAATTTTAAAAATATTACATATATATATAGAGAGAGAGAGAAGGGGAGAGAGAGAGAGAGAGAGAGAGAGAGAGAGAGAGAGAGACAGGGTCTCACTCTGTCGTCCAGCCTGGAGTGCAGTGGCGCAATCTTGGTTCACTGCAGCCTCTGCCTCCTGGGTTCAAGCAATTCTCATGCCTCAGCCTCCTGAGTAGTTCGGATTACAGGCGCGTACCAACACACCTGGCTAATCTTCGTATTTTTAGTAGAGATGGATTTCACCATGTTGGCTAGGGTACTCTTGAACTCCTGGCCTCAAGTGATCCGCCCACCTCAGCCTCCCAAAGTGCTGGATTACAGGCATGAGCCACCTCACCCAGCTGAAGTATTACATTATTTATATATGTACACATAAATAGAAAATATCTGATAAAGATATACATGAAAATATTATTCATTATTGACTTTGAGTGGTGGCATTGTGGGTAATTTTTAATCTGCTTTAAACTTTTAAAAATATTTTATCAACTTGTACAATAACTGAAGTTGAAAGCCCACGAATGCTGGGCAGGGAGTGATAAGAAGGGAAAAGAGGAAGCTGCACTTGGCTTGGGGAGGCAGACAGGAACCCCAGCATGAGCACAGGCCAGCCATTCAGTGAGCAAATAAGCATTTCTGTGCTTCACACAGAAAATGTCACCGGAAACAGGGTCCCCTCCTTCTTCCTTTCTGTCTCCAGCCCCGTCTTCAGCACCTGGGCCTACCAGCAATCCCAGACAGTGTCAGATTGCCCAGTCCAGCAATCCCAGACACTGTCAGCTCCCCTGCAGTGACAACTTTCCACACCCTAGTCCTGCAACCCTGAGTGGGAGCACCTTGTAGAAATGTAGTGGGGTTGAGCATGGCGCTCAAAAGGGCCCCTGATTATAGGCTCTGGAAACCACAGATCTCAGGACTCCAAACAGCACAAAATTTGAGTGTCCTGTTTTGAGTGTGAGCCCTACGCGGGAGACCATGCTGGTGTTTTCACATTTGGGTCGCATTTAGCATTGCGGTGGAAATAGTGGCTACCAGCTAGGGGTCAGGTGCTTGCTTACATGATCTTACTTAAAGCTCCCAACAATACTGAGACATGGCTGTTATTATCTCCTTGTTATATGTAAGAAAACAGAGACCTAGTCAGAAGCAGCTCGTCCAAGGTCTCATTGCTTGACAGGAGCAAAGTCAGGATTCAAACTCAGAGGTCTTTTTGGCAAGGATGATGACCTTTTCTTTTTTTTCCATGCAGCTTCATTGAGATAATTCACCTAGCATTCAATTTGTCCATATACTAAAATGGCCTTTAGTATATTCAGTTTTGCAACCATCATCACAATCATGTTACTGTGTTACTGTTATAAGTAGAAAAAAAAAAAATCCATTCTGAAGAGACAGGCAAACTTCATGACCCAACCCCTAGACTATGTACTAACTGGTTGCTGAGTGTAGATACTTTCCATTTTCTTCCTTCTCAGTAACGCCGATAGCATCTTAGAACTGATCATCATGGGATGAGAAGAAAACTTTTAAATTAATTTCTGCATGCCTATATATATTGGGACATAAACGAAGTTTGACTGTCATGTTCCATGGGGAAGATATTGGTGTCTGGAAGTCAGAGTGGGAGGGAATCATTGAAAAATAAGCTAGTGGGTCTATATTATGAATGGAGAGAAACTGAGAGGGAAAAGTGGCAAGTCTGGGGGAAACAAAGCAAAGAATTAGAAAAAAAAAAAAAAAAAAAAAAAACCAGAGGAGGAGGAAAAAGAGAAGGTCACACAGCTAGGAAGTGATGGGGCTAGGATGTAGACCTGAGCCATCTAATGTCAAGCCCAGGCATTTTCCTTTTATGATGCAGTCTCTCTCCGGGAGAGGCAAGAAGTTTGTGATTATTGAATGCATGAACTACCACTAATAATGTCAGTGCCTAATGATCTGCCCAGGACTTTGCCACATGTTGCTCCTTTTGTGACAGGTGGGGCATGTTTTTCTGATCCTTTTCTGATGCTCTGAGGAGGGCCAGTGTAGACCCTGTGAGCAGCTGAGCAGCTCTGGGCTGGGAAAAGGCAGAACCAAGTCTCTGGTTCCCAGGCAGGTGCTCTTTTTCCCCAGAGCCTTGAGCTCCTTGGACACCCACGTGCTCACATGTACCCACCTGGCCCTCTGCTCCAGGAACTTGGTTGGGGCAGAAGTATCCGAGGTCCCCGTTCACATGTCAATGTGGCGATTCCTCCAGGATGGGGTTCCTGGCTGCTCTTAAAGCATTGCCCTTCTCAAACTCCCGAGGCACCCTCTTAGCCATATTCCTAAACCCTGACTGCCATGTTTTATTTAGATGGTGCCCTAAGGCCACTCACTGAACCTCTCAGAGCCTTGAACATTTTTTTCTGTAAATGGGAAGAAAAACATCAGCCTCTCTGTTAGGATTAAGTGGTATTATACATGTGAAAGCATTTTAAGGTATAAGACAGCATATAAACATTACATATGATACATTATTTAGTGGCAAAATGTATCTATGAATGTCATCAGAAATAATTTTTTTCTGAATGCTCTTTGTAAATAAAATCATTTCCAAAAGGTGCTAGAGGTCTTTGACATGGTTCCCTTGTCCCTAACTGACTCCATCCCCCACTGTATAAATAGATATGCTCATTAAAATCAGAAAATTGCCTAAATTGAACTGGATCTTTATTTTCTTTTTAGAGAGGGTCTCAGAACCAAAGATCTCCTGGACTTGTATCAACACAACCCTGACCTGTGAAGTAATGAATGGAACTGACCCCGAATTAAACCTGTATCAAGATGGGAAACATGTAAAACTTTCTCAGAGGGTCATCACACACAAGTGGACCACCAGCCTGAGTGCGAAATTCAAGTGCACAGCAGGGAACAAAGTCAGCAAGGAATCCAGGATGGAGACTGTCAGCTGTCCAGGTGCGTGGCAGGCGTCACTTCACAAACACAGCTCTCCAGGCCCTCAGGAAGTAGAGGCACGCTGCTCCAGGTCACAGGTGCTCATGCTGGGAGGCAGCCCTGGCTCAGGATGAAGCGTGAAAACGTTATCTCTTCTTCCTGGAAACCTTCAAGGGAAGCCTCGGGGCGGGGGGTGGTATTCTATGGTTACCCATCCTGGGAGTCCTCCCACTGAGCACAATTTGACCACAAGCAATTTTAAAGATCCTCTTCTAGGAGAAAGAATTGCAAAACTGAAGAGGGAGGAGCTGTAGAGAGTATCTCATGCAAAACCCCATTTTCCAGAGAGGGAAACTGACTTGCCCAAGGTCCCTTGGCTAGTTAGTGACATGATTCCAACTGCTCCCCTAAAGATCATCAGTGGTCAGCGCCTCCTATCAGGAATAAAGGTAGAAAGGTTGCAGAAACCCTGAGGGGCAGGGACATGGGGGAATGGAGCCCTTGAGGCCAAAGAGGACTGTGGACAGCAAGGCAACACTCCTGGCACACAGCAGGATGGCAAGGCTTGGGGACTAGCTCCAGAAAATCTCAAAACTCCAAGACCATAATGGATCCCCAGTGTCCCAGCCTAACGTGACCTCCAGAAGTATTTCTGAGAGGCAGCCTGCTGTAGTGCCCAAGCTCTCGCCTGGGAGTAGAGGTCTGGACTTCTAGTTTGGGTCTGTCCAAATTTAGCCAGAGAATCTTGAAAGAGTTTCTTCCCCTCTCTAGGCTTCAGCTTCCTGGCCCACGAAGAAAATAAGCACCATGTTCACAGACTATTAGATGAGTAGGCTCTTGGATCCACTTCCAAGTTCATTCATGTGGGCCATTGGGCTGCCTCACAATATGGCAGCTAGCTTCCCTCAGAGCCCTCTAAGAAAGAGCAGGAATAAGTGCCCAGGACAAAAGCCATGGTCTTTTTGTAACTTAATCTCAGGAGTGATATCCCAATCACTTCTGCTGTGTTCTATTCATTAGAAGCAAATTAATAAGTCTAGCCCACATTCAATCAAAGGGGATTGCATATAGGTGAGAATACCAGGAAGCAGGGGTCATTGAAGGCATCTGAGAATCTGCCAATCACCAACTTGACCAGCATCACTTCACCCCCGGTTTTCCCACCAGTCATTCTCCCACATTCCCCTATCACTAAGGCACAGTGAGTGAAGTTGCCTCTCCTTGACCTCACAACTTCTTTTTTTTTTTTTAAAGACAGGATTTTGCTCTGTTGCTAAGGCTGGAGTGCGGTTGTATGATCATAGCTCACCGCAGCCTCGACCTTCCAGGCTCAAGCGATCCTCCCACCTCAGCCTCCCCAGTAGCTGAGACTACAGGAGGATGCCACCAAACCCAGCTAATTTTTAATTTTTTTGTAGAAATAAGGTCTCACTGTGTTGCCCAGGCTGGTCTCGAACTCCTGTGCTCACACAGTCCTCCCACCTCAGCCTCCCAAAGTGCTGGGATTACAGGCATGAGCCACTGCAGTGTCCTCGGGAGATCTTTGATTAGAGTTGTCAGATATAGCAAATAAAAATACAGTATAAGTATGTTTCAGATATTGCATGGAACATACTTAGGCTAGAAATTATTCATTGTTTATCTGAAATTCAAATTTAACTGGGTGTTTTGCATTATATCTGACAACCCTACTTTTCATGTTTATTTTAACTGGAACCCACAAGTGTAAAAATGTGTGTGTATCAGGGATGGAAGGAGGGAGAGAAGGAGGACCTTGGGAGCAGCCAAGGTTTGAAGGCTGGAACACTTACGTCCCTTATTCTATGGTGCAGATCAGAAGCTGGTTGGGAGAAGGACCACTAGGGAGATGGGAAGAATACCTGGGGAGAGATTAGGGTGGAGGAGCTGCTCTTAAAGACCTGAAAAGGGATTTGGAAGTTTTATTCTGAAAGGCCAAGGCAGAGGGGAGCAATGATCAGAGTCTAAACATTTGGTTCAGATTAGGTGAGCGTTTACATACTTAAAACCAAAACACTAGATTCCGATGCGCAAAAATACTTTATCACATAAACTCATGGGCATATGATCTCCAAGAGAAACTGTAGCAAGATAGTATGCCTGGATTTAGGAACTGGGAGGGTATATGTTTGACTGACAGTGCCACCGCTGCTTCTGAAACATAATGGAACATTCCCCACCACGAGCACTACCAGGTGTCCCACGGCGCTACACTGGACAAATTGGAGAGCAGGCTGGGTAAAGCATTGCCTACATTCCTGCATGTGCCCAAGATAAAGTTGTGGCCACCCTACCTGACAACTCGGAGATGGAGCTGGTGGCTGCATGACTTAGCCATGTGCTCCCCAAAGCATTTCAGGCCTGCCCTGCCCCACCCCGGGTCAAATCTGAAAAGTTCTCAAGCTCAGCAGGAAGTGGCCTCTGGTATCTCCTGCCCCTCCTCCAAGCCAGTAGGGCCTAAAGGGCCCTGAATCCTTTACTGACCTAATTTCAATGGTTTAAGATTATGCCTGCTTCTCTGGTGGAGGCCTCTTCATCAGTAGAGCTTAGAGATGTTGTGTAACTGGCAGGCAAAGAATGGGTCAGAGAGAGACTTGAGGAAAGAAAGCCAAGATGAACAAACCACTGCAGTCTGATAATCTGTTAAACTTGGTTTCTGAGCCTCTGACCCTCTCCTTGGGCCCATCCTGGGGCTTCATGTATAACAGTGTCTCCCTAGGATCTTTTTTGCCTGGAGGAGCATTTCTTTGTGATGCTGGGCCAAGTTCTAGTTTGTTCTTCAGATGACTCCATCCCCTGACCCCAGCCCCACTGCTGCTTCTCTAACTGCTATTGACTCACAAAGGGCAGACAGCCCTCCCGTTTCCCCTGTTTCTGGGAAACAGCTCCCAGAAACACCAGTGCGAGAACACTAGTAAGAGTGAGACCTCACATTTGTGTTGTTTTACAGTTTACAAAGCACTTTCATATCCATTATCTGATTGACTTCCAACAGCCACCTTATGATGTAGGTTTCATTATCTCCACTTTACAAAGAAGGAAACAGGCTCAGAGGGGTGAAGTAACTCTCCAAAGCTCACTACAGCTCTTGCCTAGAAAAGCCTAGACCAAACCCATTTCCCTTAACACCGAAGTCACTGTTTTCCTCATTGCATTACAGTGACTGAAGGTCCAGAAACTGAAGACTAAGTCTACTGCTGTTACTAACGCACTGTACGCCTGGTTTCTCTCGTGGCTCCAGGGAAACTCTGTGAGGGGGTGCTGGCCATGAGGTCAGAGTGCTGGGCCGGACAAGTGAAATATTTACCCTGAGTGTTTGGAAACTGCCTGGTAGAGAGGGTGAGAAGGAATCATGGTGCGGGGGGCGGGGTAGCCAGAGACGAGAGCAGGATCAACAGCGCAGAAACACCGAGACAAGGGGTTGCTTATGGGAACTGCTCAGCAACAGATATTTTGTGGCTTCGGGCAACTCATCCTCCCTCTCGGGGCCTCATGTTTGAAACTAGAGGTTCCTTTAGAGTATCTCTAAGATCCTCGGATCTAAAAGTTTGTGATGCTGTCCATGACGGGGGCAGTGGGCAGGCAGGCCTTGGTGCATGAGCAGTCAGGCATTTCTAGTCCCTGAGAGCAGTTTCCCAAGGAGCCTGCAGATGGAGCTTCCCCAGGACCTTGGGTCCTCCCAGGGTTGACACCACTCACCACCCTTTGTGAGCCTGGGAGCTATGGGGTGAAAGGTCCCAACAAGCTCTCTTATCTGCTGGATGCAGGAGGCAGCGTCCTTGGCCAGAGTAACGGCCTCTCTGCCTGGACCCCTCCCGGCCAACCCACTTCTCTTCCTTTTGCAGAGAAAGGTCTGGACATCTATCTCATCATCGGCATTTGTGGAGGAGGCAGCCTCTTGATGGTCTTTGTGGCACTGCTCGTTTTCTACATCACCAAAAGGAAAAAACAGAGGAGTCGGAGAAATGGTAAGCTCCCCCTCTTTTGTCCCACTGCAGGCCCCAGCAAAATCCCCATGAAACAGCTCATGGGGATGACACCTTGAATCTGCAGAGAAAATAATGGAAATAGGTAGTTTCGGAATGTCAGGGTTGTAGCCAGCGGGTATAGCTTGTTTCATTTTGTGGTTAGCTTGATTTTTGAAAAACAAATTCTTAGTGGTGACAATGTGGGAGCTTTGAGACACTGAATCCAGTTGGCCTCATTGGAATCCACCACTGAGGCCTACTTGGTGACAGGCTAATGTGAACATCTTTTGAATGAGCCACACTTCTCTACATAGGTAGAAAGGTTAGCTCCAAAACACCGTTTCTAGCAATAAATGTCCTGTCTATGGGTGACCGAAGACTGTGGACTTAGTCTTGGGTTCAGTCTAGGAGCTTGGTTCAGGACCAAGCTCCTAGAAACACAGGGAAAATCATTCAGGTCATCAGGTACTCACAGGAAAACAGCTAGCAGGGTGACTGTGCCCCCTTTGCCAATTCTCTGTTTGAGGGATGTGTTAGGGTTGAGAGTTTCTCCTCGGATCAGGCCTGTCCGACAACCTATCAGCAATGAAAAGGGGAGCTGGCTCAGGGAGCATCCAGGCCAGCCAAAGCAAAACACTTCAGAGAATGGCCAACCCAGGGTCACTGTCGGAGCACAGATGAGGGTGTCAGCCATTGGCGGGACTTACAGCCAAGGGAACAGGCCCTGGGGTTCTCCGCAATTCACATTCACAGCAGGACTTTGTCTCTCCCTAGAACCTGCAGGCAGAGCCACACCAGCTGCTTCCAGTGCTGCCCAGGGAGGTGGTCCAGATTTCCCCAGGCAGCGGTGGCCTTGGGCCCTGTGCCCTCTGGATTTGGTTTCTTTACCTCAAACTTCTTCCTCTGTTCTCCCTCTGCCTCCCCGTTGGCTGCGGTCCCTCAGCCCCACGTCCCATCACGCCACTGCCCCCAGCCCAGGTTCCGAAACATCTTCCTGAACTTAGCCCCATTCTTCCCACCACCATTGTCCCACACTTTCCACCACAGTGCAGCTGAATCACTGGCAGGGCCCTTAGGCATGCCTGGCTTGCCCTCCTCTGTGCCCAGCTCTGGCTGTTCTCCATGCTCCCCTCCAGCAAAGACCCCTTCTCCATTGACTAATGGTCGAAGACCACATCTTCTTCCAAGGTGGACCTCACTTGTCACCCCAAGACAAGGTGATCTCTGCCATCGCCAGGCTGAGAAGACCAGCATGGTGGTTAGCTCATGCTGATAAAAAAAAAAAGTCATTAGTCCCTGTGTTTTATATCTATTAGTGCATCCAGCTTTCAGAGTGATCTTAGGAGACAGATAACAACATAGTTGAGTAAACTTAAATTCAGTGAGGTTCAATTATTTGCCTTAAATCCTATGGCCAGTAGGTTGACTCAGGCCTCGGCTGAGGCAAGGAGCCCAGAATTTAGGGCACAGAATTTAAGGAGGCTGACCTGCCCTCGCACAACCTGAAAGTTGGTGCCTCTTTAAACTGCATGCCTGCCAGCCTCACTTGCCTCATCCCAGTCACGCCTTGGGTTGAGTAACCAGGAGATGCAAACAAGGGAGAAGGACAATGAGCATGGAGGAATTCCTGGGAGCACACGTTTAGGTGCCAGCTGCAGCTGCTGGGGTGGGCAGGCTGAGACCCACTGTCCTGCTTGAACCAGGCAGGGTGCACAGAGTCATAGCCAGCCTTGTCTGTCCAACCCTGCCTGCAGTCTCAGCCATGTGGTCACACCCCATTCCTCCTACCAGAACGCATGTGCCTCTGTCTATACTTTCCGGTGGCCCTGGGCTCTTCACAGAAATTGACATTGCAATTTTCAGTTCTTGCTCGCCTCTTACTTGATTTTAGTCTTCCTGAGGACAATTTGTGTCTAAGTCACAATGACACTTAACACTTAGAAGATGAGGAATAAACATTAGAAGGACAAATGAACAAAGTGGTGGATGGGCCAGGTGTGGTGGCTCACACCTGTAATCTCAGCACTTTGGGAGGCCGAGGCAGGAGGATCATTTGAGCTCAGGAGTTTGGGACCAGCCTGGGCAATGTAGTGAGACCTTGTCTCTACTTTAAAAAATAAATTAAAAAATTAGGCGGGTGTGGTGATGTATGCCTGTAGTCCCAGCTAGTCAGGAGGCTGAGGTGGGTGAATCATTTCAGCCCAGGAAATTGAGAATACAGTGAGATGTGATCAACCACTGCACTCCAGTCTGGGCGACAGAGCAAGACACTGTCTCAAAAAAACAAAACAAACAAAAAACAAAAATGGTGGGTGAACAGAGTAGTAAACCAATGGCCGGTGCAAGCTTGCCACATAGGAGATGAAGAAGGACCACCCACTGCGCCATAATTCAGAACTGGGGTCAGGGGTTAGAGCCCTCTGCACAGTCTACTGGACATAACCTAAGCAACGACTGTAGGGCACGGAAGATGGCATAGAGGATGTGTTTTGCCCTTTCTGGAGGCCCTTTCCTCTTTGTGCTCAGAGCACACGAGCCACTTAGGTATCAAAATCACATTGTCTAACTTTGACTCTACGCTCAAAGCCACCTGATGCTCACATTTCCTGTAGTCAGAGGAGGCCATCTGTTTGAATCAACATCCGGAAGTTACAGGGTGATGCTTAGAGAGGGCTTGTGCTTCCCCAGCCACACATCTCCATAAAGATGTAAGAGGTAATTGTTTCGGCCGGGTGCGGTGGCTCACGCCTGTAATTCCCGCACTTTGGGAAGCCAAGGCGGGTGGATCACCTGAGGTCGGGAGTTCGAGACCAGCCTGACCAACATGGAGAAACCCTGTCTCTACTAAAAATACAATATTAGCTGGGCATGGTGGTACATGCCTGTAATCCCAGCTACTCAGGAGGCCAAAGCAGGAGAATTGCTTGAACCCGGGAGGTGGAGGTTGCAGTGAGCCAAGATTGTGCCATTGCACTCCAGCCTGGGCAACAAGAGTGAAACTTTGTCTCCAAAAAAAAAGAAAAGAAAAGAGGTAATTATTTCACCCCAGGGAAATCTTCTCTTCCTACCTCCCTCTGCTCCCTCTGGAGCTACTGTACTGAAATACCTAACTTACAGCCTGAAGGAGTCCAGAGGGGCCAGCAGGGTGCTCCAGGTCTCTAGCAGCTAGGCACCCTCACAGATTCCCTGTGATTTTAAGAGTACAGGAAAAACTACATTACGAGTAGTTGTGGGCATGCTTTCATGGACTGAAGTCACACAAAGAAGAAAATCCTGATGGGTGAGGAGAGGAGGAATTCTTTCCCTCCTACGGCCAAGAGGATAGGTCATGAATTTCTGAGGAGTTAGTAAATTTCTAAGGACAAAAAGTCCCCTGCATATTCCAACCTCTTGCCAGTAGGTGGGTTGCATGACAGTAGAACTGGGGGAAAGGCAGATCTAACATAGAAATGCCTCAGAAGGAATGTAGTTACTAATATCCTCCATGACTCCTCATAACCCCTTCCCATGCGCTCTAACCACGAGGTTCTTGCTCTCAGGGAACAATCTCTAGGTCAGCACAGAGGTAGGGTTCCAGGTCTGAGTGCTCTCTCTGATCACAGGAGCATCAGGCACAAAGCCCTCCACTCGTGTGTCTTCTTCCTGTTGGTTCCTTGAGTTCTCTAGTCCTAGGCTCTCCCTCTACCTTATGGTGAGCACTTCTTTCTCTCCTACAAGCTTTAGAGTTCTCAGAGAGTAGGGTCAACTTCTTCTTCCTCATTGCATCCCCCAAAGCAGTACCTTTTATGTGCAAGTCGCCTTGCACATGAAAGGTACTCAATATTTACATCAATTTCACCTGGCCAAGATGAACTCTATTGAGGTTTTGTTGTTGCAGATGAGGAGCTGGAGATAAGAGCGCACAGAGTAGCTACTGAAGAAAGGGGCCGGAAGCCCCACCAAATTCCAGCATCAACCCCTCAGAATCCAGCAGCTTCCCAACATCCTCCTCCACCACCTGGTCATCGTTCCCAGGCACCTAGTCATCGTCCCCTGCCTCCTGGACACCGCGTTCAGCACCAGCCCCAGAAGAGGCCTCCTGCTCCGTCGGGCACACAAGTTCACCAGCAGAAAGGCCCGCCCCTCCCCAGACCTCGAGTTCAGCCAAAACCTCCCCAAGGGGCAGCAGAAAACTCATTGTCCCCTTCCTCTAATTAAAAAAGATAGAAACTATCTTTTCCAATTAAAAAGCACTGTGGATTTCTGCACTCCTGATGTGCACACCCATACTTCCATCAGGTGTTTTCTACATGCAGAACATTGTCACCTCCTGAGGCTGTGGGTCACAGCCACCTCTGCATCTTCGAACTCAGCCATGTGGTCAACACCTGGAGTCTTTGGTCTCCTCAGAGAGCTCCATCACACCAGTAAGGAGAAGCAATATAAGTGTGATTGTAAGAATTGTAGAGCACCGAGCACAGAAATCTTAGAGATCTCTTTTCCCCTCTCAGATCATGTGTAGATGCGATAAATCAAGTGATTGGTGTGCCTGGGTCTCTCTACAAGCAGCCTATCTGCTTAAGAGACTCTGGAGTTTCTTATGTGCGCTGGTGGACACTTGCTCACCATCCTGTGAGTAAAAGTGAAATAAAAGCTTTGACTAGATCCGAGTCTGCTCATTGTGTGAAGGACCCCAGTATCAAGGAGAGAAGGCTGCCGAATAAGAAAGAGCCTCGCTGGTGTGACAGCAGGATCAAATTCAGTCAACTCAATCCAGCTGAGACCTCCTTAGTTCTCACCAGAATGACCAGAACATTCTCCCCAGGTCTCAGCTGCAAAGCTGGGTCCAACAACCTATTTGTAGATTTCCATAACGAATTGAAGCCTCCATGCCCAAATGTTAACAGGAATCACCAGAAAACTTAACCTTTTGGGTCTTACTTCCTTGACTCTTCAGACACGGTCATAATGATCTGTACTGTCATCCTTGAAAACAGGGGAATCTATGGATACTGGAGGTGTCATGAACTCATCAGATGACATACAAAAGGATAGGCTAAGAGACAACTCAGTTGAATCAAATCTTAAGTGTCTTAAATGACTGTAATTAAAAGGTCAGACCCATCCCCAGCTAGCAGTCATGCTAGCTGTACTTTGGGGGAAGTGGGGAGAAAAAAATAATTTTCAGTTGGAGTTCTAAAACAATAAGTGGTGAGAAGGCACCTGCTTTGAAATGTTGGTGCCATGTCTGTGGTCCTGTCTGCCCGCCTTCTCCTTGGCTTCTTAGACTTGCTAAACCTTGTTACACTCTGGCAGGAAGCTCTGAGGGCTAAACCACAAAAACTAAGTATATTCAGGACTTCCTGTGACAGCTCACTGAGGATTGAACTACTTTTTCCTCTGAATCTGAGAGGCTATTGTTCCAGCACCCAGAGTTAATTACTAAGGGCAATGATGAATGAAACCTCATCACCTCCCAACATTCAAACACAAAATCCAGCTAGGTAACAATTGCCACAAGATCTACCCAGTAGAGGGATGAGGGCTCTGACCGGGCATGGTGGCTCATGCCTGTAATCCTAACACCTTGGGAGGCCGAGACAGGTAGATCACCTGAGGTCAGGAGTTTGAGACCAGCCTGGCCAACATGGTGAAACCCCTTCTCTACTAAAAAAATTAGCCGGGCATTGTGGCACACACCTATAATCCCAGCTACTCGGGAGGTTGAGGCAGGAGAATTGCTTGAACCCGGGGCTGTGGAGGTTGCAGTGAGCTGAGATCACATCACTTCACTCTAGCCTGGGCAAAAGAGCGAAACTTCGTCTTAAAAAAAAAAAAAAAAAGAAAAAAGAGGTGAGGGTCCCAGCCCTGCCCCTTTCTCATTCTTCATGACACCTGTGAGTGATTTCATTGGCTATCTCGCCAGAGTAGCTTATATGCCGTTCCCTTAAGAAAATCTTCCCTGGCTATCCAGCCCTGAGCTCTGCCTTTCTTCTGAAGTCCTGTGGCATTACATGTGGTACAAAACACATACAGCCTATTCAATCCTTCAGCGTTCATTCATTCAACAAACATTTATTGAACTTCTACTACTTGTCAGGCTCTGTGCTAGGCACTAGGAAAACAGAGGCGTACAATTGCATCTCTGCTTTCAAGTAGCTCACCATCTGGTAGGCAAGAAGCAGACCGACCATGGGACAAATGTAGTGCAGTGTGATAAATATAGGTCAGAGGCAAGTACGTGAACCCGGAGGAAGGACTTTGAACCCAGACTGAGTGGTAGGACTGGGGTGACAAAGAGGGCTTCCTAGAGGAGAGACATTTGGGTTGTGTTGTAATAGATTAATTGAGCTGGTGAAGCAGAGGTACAGAATTACCCACGTAGAGGGAGCAGCATGAGCAAGGCTCATTTGGCTTTCTGTTTACACAAACATGTAGTTTCTTTTTCAACTACTGTATTTAACTAATTTGAACATGGCATTGATTTTAAGTGGCACCGTTCTTTTACATGCCACTAAGAAAGAAAACTTCTCAGTTGCATTGTAATAAATACTAAGATACAGTCAATTTTTAGTCACGGTCCCATTCCTGAGATGTTACAATGTGAAAAAATATGCATTTTCGAATTGATGAAACGCATAGTAAAGAAGATTTTCGAGTACAATGACCATTTCTCAATATCACTGCCAGCACTTTATTGAAGCTATCATTAGCCAATTGATTCGATGGGTTAGCACAGTCCTGATGAAAGGAAGGGAAGTGAACATACACAACATCCTTGTCATCCTTATCCAGGGAAGATAAGATGGATTCTCTGCCCTGCACCACCATTAGGTGGGAAACATGAACCTTGCTTAAGATTTGTGCTTCTATTACCCACCTGTCTAACACTGTGTGACACTGAACCTGTCCCAGAGCATGGACATTCTGAGAAGTAGTCAGGCCAGCTGCATAGGAATAACTTGTAGAGCTTGTGAAAAAAAAAATGCTGACAATTCTGTAAGTTAGGTTGGGGGCCAAATGAACATATTTTTAAACAACCTCTCCAGCTGATTCCAATGGGCATTCAAGTCGTAGGCAACATTGGAGGCTATAGATAATGCAGTATTGTAAGAAAAATCAACAGTTGTAGCCCAGTTAACTATTCCTCCACAGGGAAATCTCCAATAAGAAGGCCAAGCATGTTGGAAAAATATCCACATAATTTAAGGCACTGGAACATCCTAGAGGGTTATATGAAGATAGCAAATTTAGAGGTTTCTGATAGCCTATCTGCCCACCCTAAATAGTAGTCTAATCATAGCAGCCGGACCAGCTTAGCTCCAAAATGGTCTCAACTGTAAACTGGAAATTTCATCTCAGTTCTCCTGCTCCTTTTCCTTTGCTCATTTTCTAATGTTAGGCTGCTTACCCATGCTCAGTGGGTTGCAGTTACTCAGCAACTCAAGTTTACCAATAAATTCACCACCTCAAGACCACTGTACACGCTGTTGCTATTACACATGCTGTTCCCACTACCCAACACTTTTCACCTGGCTCTTCACCTGTCCACATTCTTCTTTCAGAGCTCAGACAGAAAGTCATTTCCTGCGGGAGACCTTTCCTAACTCTTGAACTCCACTGTAACGTGAATCTTGTGTGAGACCATCTCTGTGTCCAGTTCTGTGCCCATGAAGTTCAATGTTGTAGAAGACTCACAGGTATCGAAGACAGGAAGTTCTGACTCTCTCTGTCTCACACTGGCTTTGCAAGCTTGAGTAATTTATTCAGCTTCTATGAACACTGATTTTCTCATCTATTGAATGAGGATGACACCTCACAAGGTTAGAGTGAGGACTAAATGGAAATAATGTATGTAATGTAACTAATATATCCTTGTGTACAGAATGCATCTGAAAACTGTGAGCTTTATTTCTGGCATGATACTCAAGAAGGAATATCCTGGATGGCACATATAAATGGGCTAGTTATTGGAAAGAGACACAGCTCATCATAAATTGATAAATAAGCACTCTGTAAGGTGACTTAGTCTGCTATGAGTTCTATTCATCTGAGTCAGTTTCCTAATGTTGGCTCACATGGAACAAATGAATGATAAAATCCTACACCAGAGGCATTTAAAGATAAAGAACAGACCTGTGAGGCCGCCTCGTAAATCCTAGATTGAGTCACAAGTCTTCTGTCACCTCCCTGGCGTCATAAGCAAGGTTTTCCTGAAAACAATACCAGGACATTACTTCACATGGCATCTTGCTGGTTTATTTATAGCAACACAGAGAAAAGGATGAGGAAATAAGGGAAAATTCTGGTCTTTTTAATTGCCTACCAGACAATGACATTACAAAAAAGAAACTACAGGCCAACAACTCTCACAGATACAGATGCAAAATTTTTCAAAACATATTAGCAAATCAAATTTGACAATGTATAAAAAGAACTATACATTACAACCAAGTGGTATTAATCTCAAGTATGCAATGCTGGTTCAACATTTGTAAATCAATTAGTATAATCTATCATATCCACAAGCTAATGAAAAAAAATCACATGATACTATAAGTAGATACAAAAAAAGAATTTGACACCTGTTTATCAATACCTGTTTATTAAAAAAAACTTTTGGTAACTGGGAATAGAGGGAAACTTTCTCAACTTGATAAAAAAAAAAAAAAGTCTACAAAAAAGACATGCACCTAACATTTTACTTAACAATGAGAAACTAAACTTTCCAGTAAGATCAGAAATCAGGATGTTTCCTCTCACCACTGTTTCTCAACATCATATTAGAAGTCTTAGCTAATGCAATAAGACAAGAAAAGGAAATAAAAGGTATGCAGGTTGGGAAGAAATAAATAAAACTGTCTTTGTAGATGATGTGATCATCTGTGTAGAAAATCTGAAAGAATCAACAACAAAATAATACTGGAACTAATAAGCAATTATATTAATAGCAAGGTTGTATTAAATAATTCTTACAAGTTTAATATTAAAAAGTCCATCAGTTTCCCATATACCAACAATAAACAAGTGCAATTTGAAATTAAAGACATAATACCATTTACATTAGGACTCAAAAAATGAAATACTTAGCTATAGATTTATATGAAGAAAACTACAAAACTCTAACAAACAAAACTAAAGAAGAACCAAATAAATGGAGAACTATTATGTTCATGGATAGGAAGACTCAATGTTGCCAAGATGTTAGTTCTTCCTAA